ATCCGGCTCCAGTCCTAGGGATTTAGGGTCTGAGAATTTGGGCTTTAGTATGCCGAGGCTGTCTTCTCATTTTTTGATATGATCATAGAGAGACACATAAATAGCTAGGTATGTCTCTCTCGCTCTCTCTCGCTCTCTCCATGTGTGTGTGTGTATCTCCATATGTGTGTGTATATATATATATGTGTACTGTTTGATTTGCTTGGTGCTTATTCATACATGCATTTATGATTTTTGTATGTACTTATTATTTTTGTATTTTCGACACATACTTGCGCGTGCAAGGGGAAGGGGGGTGAGGCTGGAACCTATATGTAATGAAAAGATGACCGCCTCGGTTTACTAACCAATCGCGAAGTCTCTAGACCCCTAAAGTTTAAATCTGGGGCAGGATATCAGGCTCATGCTACGCAGCACACAAACATCGAACTCCCCGCACGATTAGCAATTCTACGCCCCGGGCTTTGGGTTCGGGTTCAGCACTTAAGTTTTGGGGTCAAGGGCTTGGCGGTTTCAATCAGGATGTAGAGTAAGTTGGCAGCCAGCCTATGGGGGCAACTGGTTAACCCGTCCAGGAAAATCCCCTCAAAACACCCCGCGCACAAATGTCCAGCAAAGCTGCTATAATCGCAAACTTCCAGCAAATCCGCCAATTTCGCAAATGTCCAGCAAATCCGCTGTTCTCACTCTCGATGTCTTTGTTTTTGGCTTCGCAGCCCTGCCGCCCGACTCTCCCCGACTCTTCCCCGACTCTCCCCGACTCTCCCCCGACTCTCCCCGACTCTTCTCTCTTTACTTCAGTCTTGCCGACCCCCACTTCGTACATATACAGTATATGTACAAGTTTATGACAGTTTATGCAAAGGCATAGTACAGTGTACGCATTTTCCGACATTCGGTAAATATGTGCGTGCTCCTGTGCGTCGATATATGTGTATGCGTGTACATTTGCATGCGTGTATGCGTTTATGCGTGTATGTGCGTATGCATGCATGAATGTACGTACGTAGGCATGCATGCATGTATGTAGGTATGTAGGTATGCATGTATATGAGGTGTAAAAGTACAGAGGGACGGGTCGAGCAGTGTTTGTACTGATGTGTCCCACATCCCCAGAAGCTCGAAACAGACATCCAGGCAACTCCGCGACTCGCGGCCGAAGCTTGGGCTCAGATTTCGGCGGCTGAGGGCTTGGGGCTTCTCGGGTCTGGGGTTTAGGGCTTGGGGCTTGTAGGGTTTTGGGTCGGTTTGGGCTTCCGCAGCAGGGTCTTTGGATGTTTAGTGTAGGGTTAAGGGGTTCATGGATTCGGCACTCGTTCGGTTGGCGACTTCTGTGGGTGCTGCCCGACCCGGGCGAAGTGCGAAGCCTGTTGCAGAAAATGGATTGCAGTCGGTTCCTCGGTGTCTGGCATATGCATCGACCCAGGTGCAACACTTGGGGTATCTTGGGGTTGGGGTTAAGGATTTTGTGGGCTAGGGTTTGGGTGGAGAGCTCTGCGTCCGTCCATCTATTTGTTGAGCTGTACATCATTGAAAGCGACACCCTTCTCACCCACAGCGTATAGAGTAGAAGAGGAGCAAGGCTTAAGCATTCTGCTTGCCATTGACTTGGGGCATAAGCAGCTGCAAGTCATCAATCGTCTCGTTCTTCAAATCCTCTGCCGAGGCAGTACCCACAAGATCTCCAGCAGATCCCGTCGGTTCAGGCTTTCTACGAGCTGCCCCTTTGCCGAAGCAGTTTTCAAGCATCAGTGGCACTGTAAGTCCATTTCAGTCCTCGGCTATGCTCCAAGCGTTTAGTAAACCCCTGTCTTGAGGGGCCGTAGGATACTTGTGAATTAATGTATATAGTCCTTAGTAAGGGAAGGGGGCTCATTAACCAGGGGTCTACTATAGTCTCCTTTGAAGTTACTCTTTGGGCTTACCTTGAAGGATCCTGGTTTTCCTGGACCGGCGAAGACCCCAGATAGCTGGGGAAGCGTCAGAATTGGCCATGGTTTCGGACAAAAGTGGTTGTCGCGGGTCTTAACCAAGAATGTCAACCAGTTAGCACAGGCAGTTTGGCGTGCAGCGCTGCTGCAGGCTCAGGCTTGCCAATCTGCGAAAGGCAATGTCTGGGCTCACTCGTCCTCACATGCCTCAATTAAACTCCCCTCGGCCTTTCCATTCTTTTGGGTCAATGGGCCGGGTGCTTGCCAAAGTCAAGAGATTGACAGTCGATCCCTCATCGTACATCATTTCCCATAGCACTCTCTACTCCAGAGGCTCGTTTCACCAAAACTAAAACAACCTTCGCTTCGAAGGTCCTTTCATTCCTTTTCCTTGTCCTTTCGTTCCTTCGCATCCAGCTCTCTTTCCTTTGCCTGCGTTTGTACATTCCTTTGCCTGTGCTGTTGAGATAGCCAGTTCCATGACTTCACTGAATGTGTTGATGTTACGAACACTAAAAAAGCAAGCCCTGCGGCATTGGACCAGTCGCTTTCCGCCTAAGCAGTGTGATCAGAAGGTCATTGTCCAACGGCCTGCCAGTCGCCCTATAACGATTCTTCAAGATGATGAAATTACTCAGATCACTCTCCAGTGATCATCTCAGTAGGCACGGCAAACTGTCCACAATCTTCCCAAAAACTTTCATCTCGTTCTGTGTCTTCATTTTGAAGAATCGCCCACGTGGCACCATCAGTGATCTGTGCCAGCATGCACGCCAATTGTCGTGAGGAGAACAATGCTAGCAACAGTTGGTTGTTTTATGCTCCGTCAACGGCTTCACTCAAGTCATCAGCGGTCGCTTTGGCTTCGCAAGGGGCTTGTGCAATCCAACATGCCACTTCAGTTGCCATGGCGAATCTTCCCATTTCTCCAGCTCACCGTAGCGCACTGGTGGTGGGAACAGTTTGATCTCACCACCAGTCCCTCTCACTCCGAAGTCTGCTACCATGCGAAATTCAACAATTTGTGGATTCTGATGATGGACGTGTTGCTCGTCCATACTGGCGACCACTCCGCATTGCCATTCTAAAAAGCACTCCTGGCAGTGCCACTGCAGTGACTTCCACCAGGCACTCGTCACGCACTCATCCATGACATCCCTTGGGCATAAGGCTCTTCCATTCCACATGCCAGCTACCTTCAATTGGTCAGGAACTTTCGCTCGGCCATGACGAGCAATACCAGCCCGCCTCAATCATCACTCCTTCGGAAAAGTCTTGAGCGCCGAAAGTTCCAACAATGACATTCAGGGAGCTCATTGAGTCATTCGAGTGCTCATAGTGGTGCTCAATCCGCCACCACCCAGATAATCCTTGGATAGCTTTCAACCCGGAAATAAATCCCCAAAATTCGCGCAGCAATTCAATTAAATTTGGTTGATTTTTTCTGTGGTTATTTGGGCGGGTCCAGGAGCGTTTTTTGGGCCCGGCGTCTGCACTTGTTGCTGGCACATGCATGCTGCTGCCGCCCCTTCGCCGGCGGGGACACGGCACGCCCCGGCCTGCATGCCGACTGCATGCCGCTGCACCCGTGTGCCGGCGGCGGACACGGCGCGCCCCATGCACCTGCATGCCGAATGCCGCTGCACCCCCTGCCGCTGCGGTGGACACAGCGCGGCCCCTTACTTAGCTAGAACCCCTTATAACTAAAGCTATCTGGGGAAAAAAATAAATGCTGCTATACGAAATAGGGGTAGAATGGAGACTATAGCCTTAAACCCTATATACTATAGAATCTTTGTACTTTGTAGATCCTTTTTAAGTTTGGGAACATCACAGTCCAGGCTGCATCTACTGCTCCGGGAGGATCCCCGAGATCTCGGCGGAGGCAGAGCAGGATCCCAGGCCCGGGCGGCCGCTGAGGGTTTTTGAGGGTTTTTGAGGGTTTAGGGTTTTTGGGTATTGGGGCCGTTGTGGGGTTTGGGGCGAAGTTGGTAAGCCGGTAAGCAGACGCAATCTTTCCACGCAGGGGTACCACAAGCAGATGAGGCTTGAGTTTGGGAGTTCAGCATGGAAAAACTGAAGATTCATGGACACTTCAGTATTGGGTCCTGGCGATGCAACAGTCGAAAGTCATGAGAGTGAGTTCATGCACGCGCGCGCTTGAGCCTGCAGATGTTTCGCCGCTCCGGCATAAGTCCAGACCGTATTTGCTGTGTACTCAGGCCGCGCAGTCCCAGATGCTTGTTTTTACATGTAAGAGCTGCTGGAATCCCCGAAGCACCAAAAAACAAGACTTCATAGCTCGTAGGGACGTGCACTCAGAGTAGGTGGGTCCGGAACTGCAGACTCTTACAGTTCACAAGTTGAGTCTGCCAGATGTGCACAGGAGCCGCAAGATCGCAGTCGGCCTCTCGCCTCCGATCCTGATACGCGCATGTTCTAGGTTTAGTGCCAGCAGTGCATTCACCACGCGCTTTCGTGCACCCGAGCTCGCCAAGCTTCTCGCATTTACCCTGCGTTCCGTCCTAATATAATCTAGAATCTAGAATCCAAATCAAGCTATGCATGAAAGAATGCGGCGATGATCAGAATAGCTGAAGTTCTGTTGTTGTGGGGGGTGGGGCATAGAGCTGCAGCGCGCCCGGGCGTTCTTTGGCGATCTTGGCTCAGTGTTTGTTTCGTTCCACGCGTTGTGATTTCCACTACATGTTCTCTGAATTAGGATTCCGGGAATCAGGATTCGGGGTGTTCCTTTTCCTTAGTCCAACCTTAGGGTGTTTGCCTATGACCAAGTCTTTCAGCTGAACGCTGCGAGAAGTGTTCTGCTGCATTGCAGTGTTTGAGTGTGGCATGAGGCTTGACGACAGCTCGTGCAATGAAATTTCCGCTGCGCAAGCCTCCATTTTGGCTCAACGGGGTGACAGAATTGCACTTGATCCTCAAAGGCGTGCTTGACCTGCTGTTCCCATCCGCCATGGCAGCCCAGTTCTCCACCCTGGAACACCATGTTCAGCAAGTCGTGTCCAAGATTCCAACCCAGGAGTTGAGCCCTGTGGCTTTTACTAATGTGGATCGAAAAGAGGACCATCTCCTGGGAGTTCGGAACACGTTTGTTGACTTGAGTGATGAACCTTCACTGCAGCAGTGGTACAAGGACATCAGAGGCATACGCTCATGCCCAGCCAGCGAGCATGGTGATGATGACCGGAGTGCATACGTTGGCGCTGATGCTGACGAAGACGAAGCCTGGCAGACACCAGAGCCATCTCCGCGTTTTTGCAATGAGGAGAACCCTCAGCTCGCAGCATCACCATGCAATGCGACACAGCCAGGAAAGTCCAGGACTCCGCTGAAGAGTGGTGCAAGCCCCTACCGACCAATTCCTGCGGCACGACCGTCCTGTAGCACGACATACTATGCCATGCCACCGCCCGTAGGCACCGCAGGTCGGTTCTTAGTGGCAGAGTACCACCGCCGAGTGCAGGCCTCGCGGCTCCACTCGGTTCAGGACCAGCCGACATGTTTGGCAGACCTGAAGGCCACGAGGCCTTGCCAGGGGAGCCCAGGTCTGGGTTCGGAAGCGCTTCCAAGCATCGGCTCTGGTGCTCATGCCGCAGGTGAGTGTCGGCCCTGCGCCTTCTTCCACAAAAACCGTTGCGTGACAGGCCGAACTTGCCTTTTCTGCCACCTCTGTGATTCCCGTGAGAGGAAGCGCCGACTGCGCCTTCAGAAAGCAAAACATGCAAAAGCGTGAACCCTGTAAGACCCAAGGTGCAGGTGCTTTGGCCCGAGCTCACTCAGGGCCTTTTTAAATGATCTCCGTAGCTTGGCAGATGCATGGCTAGCATTAACTTTGCAGCTATGGAAAAACTTAGACTTAGTTGCTTTTCAAAAGGTCAATCGTCAGGTGCACAGCATCATTCTAGACGAGTGGCCTCAAGTCTCCATAGTTTTGAGCTCGCTTGCCGATTCACTCACCGGTGTTCCCGGCATGTCGTGGCCCAGGTAGTTGTCTGCACCACTATGCGTGCTCTTGAACTGCTGCCACGCTTTGGTTCCGTCGTCTTTGTGCAGTGCGTAGTTGCTAAATCTACTGTCATGAAGATCGTTGGCTCTGTGTCTTTTTAGAGAAGAGTTCCGATTACCAGCCATGGCAGCAAGCACTCCGGCACAAAGGTTCTGATTGTTCCAGGTGGTGGCCGTCGTCCGAAGGAGTCGGCCACTGCAAATGCATCGCTGCATACCAACGTCATAGCTCTCGTCGGTCAACAAGCATTCCTACGTCCTACACTGCCCAGTGAATTTGTTGTTGATGTGTTAAGGTTCCCGCGTTGCTGTGTGAGTGCGTGCGTGCGTGCGTG